TCATTTTCAGGGTCCGACACTCGTAAAAATTTGGGGGCCGCCATTCGGGCAACCTTGGTATGATCACAGGTTGCCCAAATGAATTTCAGGTCGTCCAAATAAAATATCAATTGAAACAAAACTTAATGTGCAATTGTTTATAATTTGTTAAGATAACTAATAGAAGTTGTGTTTTTGCATTAAAAAATGTAAACCAGACAATTTTGGAATTTAAAGATTTCTAGTATTTTATCAAACAAAAATATAAGCAGAATCAGACATGCAGAATGCTTTAGTTTGTAGCTTTAAACATTCATTTTCACTTGCCATGAAGGCCTAAATATATAGGGTCAAAAAACCCTGGACTGAATTAATCAGGTGTTACATTACAGTGGACACCCAAAATAGCTGTCTAGCAGCAGAAAACGATCATTATGATCAGAAAGTTGTAGGGGAAATGCAAGATGTTACAATGATGATTATTACTATTTATATTAATAAGGCGATTTGACTAAGTTGGCATCTTCTATATCTCAAATAATACTTTATTAAAGACTTTTAGTAAAAATTGCATCAGCTGATTGATCGAACGAAGATTTGGCAGGAGAAAAAATCTTTGCGGCTTCAATTTAAACATGTTGAATGGGTTGGTATTGTTACAGGAAAATATGTTTTCAAGGTCTTATGAAGTTTAGTTTAAAATATTAAACATCATTATGAAATATTCCCAAATTGTCCCAGGTCGTCATTTGGGCGAGCCAGACTGAAAATCTGGTCGTCCGAAGTCATTTTAGGGTGGAAATGGCGAGGTGACGAGCGCGAATGTCGAACCCTGTCAAAAGGTCTCCAAAATCACCTAAAATGTGCCGGTAGAGAAAGGGTTAAAATACTCGGTAAGCTTTAAACGTCCGTTTTTATAAATTAAAGAGCAAAGAATGTCAGCAACGCCACAACTTTTTCCAGTTGACTGAACTGTCCAGAAGTGTTAGCACAATCCGCAATACTTTCAAACAGCCTATTGCACCAAATTGGAAGGTAATATATTCTTACAACCCGTGTGCATGTCGTTTGGACCTAAAGAATTCATTAGCAAAGAATTTTTACACATTATATTTTCAAAACGCAAGAAATCACCGCTTCGGAGTTGAAACCCCATATGATACTTAACCGAAACCCCACATGTGCCCCTTTATATGGTGTGACAGACGATCAGAAAAATGAGATTTAAAGTCCCCTTGATTTTGCGAAAGCGGGGGACAAAAAGGACCTCTAGAAATTCTAGAGGTGGGATCAGGTGCCTATGAGGAGTAAACACCTCTTGTTGATCGGTCACATCTAAGTATAAAATATTGATAAGGAAGACGGGACATTCCGTAGTCAATTCAGTATAAACACAAAGGCCTAGCAGTTGTTATGACCGTGTCAGCGAAAATACGAACTAGTGATAGATTTTGTATGCTTTATACATGTATTTTCAACATATAACCATTTCGTGCCTGACATTAGAGGCGCTTGCATAGATAACTTTGCAATTCAAGCAAAATAAATCATTGCAATCGTCCACAAGATGTTTATTTTCTGCAATTGATTTGATTTTCTTTACCAGATCTTAAAAGGGAATATGACATTTCATGCACTGAATGTCTCATTCGTGTGGCTCGGAAATATAAACCCCGTCATAATGATCCAATAAACTGTACTGCTCAGTTTATACAATGAACAATTCTCTTGATAATACATAATGAAGACATGGCGTCTTGCAGTAAATCCCAAAAGAAGCAATTTTCCAATTTTATTTTTTCGCGGATTTCAGCATATCATGATGCCTTAGAGCTTGATTGCGTTTTATTAAATAATAAATATCTATATCATCTATATCTCTCATACAAAAATAAAATTGTTTTTCACAATATAATGCTAAAAGTTTTTGTCTCTGCGCCATTACACGGACACCTTTGGTTCCACCATGTTAGATGGGTGAGCATTGTTGTAGTACGTGTACACGGGAGCGAACTCCAGCTGCCCCTGTGTGTGCTTATTATCTCCCTCGTCCGATATGTCATAACGTCCAAAGACACATTCTGAGTAACTAGGTGCTAAAAAGGACGAAATGCATACAATGAACATTGTTAATGTTGAGACAAATCTTTATCGTTTATGTTATTACTAGTATATCGAGCCTCATTCATCTTGTTTCTGCATGAATAAAAATTTTGTTTCCTGTTCTATTTGGAAAAAAAAGACCTAAGACTTGGAGATATTCAAAGACTTCAATTTGCTTAACAAAAATCATCTGTCTTTTGTAGTTAACCTAAGACTTAAGTAGATTTTTTTACTTACGTTGGCTGTCATTGGCAAATGAAGGCACTGGCATGGGCGGGGCTGACGGGGGAAGGGTGACACAGTGGTTCTGAAGCGCCAACTGAGGGCGCAATGGCACCGTCCCAATGATCACCTCGATGGGGATCTCTAAATTGGACGAGGGGCCGAGGGTTTTCATGATCAACTGTAGAATTAAATCAAAGAACTAGAAATAGCTAGTAAAGAAATACGTACTCGTACAAAGTTCTAGTGTAGCGTACAATAAAAATTATGCTGTGGAATAAACTTTATAATATCTGAATTATCCAATCATCTGAAGAAGAGTATATTGAAATGATAAAGATCGTATTTGACATTTATGCATGTAGTAATTTTTTGACACAATGGCATTTAATTTCCTGAGTGGATTTCCATTTAACACTATACATTTTTACGTGGCATATGTTTTACAGCTAAAATATAAAATGACTGGAATAGTTTAGTACCTTTAAAAAGTATCGAATATCAATGATGTTACAACCCTCCAGAAAGGAAGGAGGCACTGGGGGGATAGCAAGGCCACTTCCTTTCCAAACAAGTGTTTCGCCGCCCCCAACTCCTAAATGCATGACTTTCGTAACCTCCTTTTTGAGTTTACGTGTTTTATAGGTCTTCATTCTTGCCGGGTTTTTGGGCAAGCAAACTAAAACCTCTGAAATCTTGTCTTCTGTGGGTGTTCGCTTGAGAGGATTTTTTATTCTGCTAGTGACAGATCGTTCCTTGAATATTTTAGAGAAGTATATCGTCTTCTGGAAAAATAATTAAATTTCGGTTTTTTATTCATTGAGAAACAATTTTTGAAAAAATAATTTTTTTATGCTTTTGAAAGACACTTAAGACATTTAATATACTCCATATTAAATTGTTTTTGAATCATGTTCACCTAAATCTGTTCCAGATGGGGAAAAACTAGTTTAAAACAATAGTTGTATAAACAGTAATAATACTGCTCCAAAACTTAATTAATTTTCAATCAAGTACAATTTAAGACAGAAATCAAACGTAGAAGTTAATTTCAAGTATATTCCCACGTATTACACAGTGACTTGATAACTCTCAGCTGCCCACGGAAATCAATAGAAGAGTGATTACTTTTACGATAGGATTCTTTTACCATTTCCAAAATAGCCCAGACATCACACTCAAAGGAGGACAGATTTTGAATTTCGGCATTTATATCGATCCTTTCTCCAGGAACAAACCCAATCCTATCAAGATGAATGGTCCCTGATATCGGTCCCGACTTACAGCAAAGACAGAACATCCTCTTGGACCCTCTGTTACTTGTGGAATGCTGTTGGAGATAAAATATAAAAAAAAAAAATAAAGGAAAGGAATTTTACAGAGAAGTTAATTTCTTGTACTGTCTGAATAACGTGTGAAAAGGGCTATAATTCTAGCAAGGAAAATTACATCTTCACGCTGTAATGGAAATTCATAAAGTAGACTTTATTGCCTTTATTGATCAGACTGTCAAAAACAAGTATACGGGCTTTGGTTAAATGAACACTTCTACGTCAGTCTGGTTGGTATAGTGCAATGGTTCTATTATAAACAATGCTGTCTGGGGAAAATCAAGGGATTTCCTGATTGTTCTTTGAATGTGTGGTAAATAAAGTTTATGAGGGTGAATGACCAAATCAAAAGAGCTTTGGGAAATATTAGGTCTTTTGTCTCTTAAAATTTAGTTACATGATTACGATTTATTGTACTAAACCGAATGTCTACTAAATATTGCATTGTTTACATGGAATATAGTTTTAATAAATCTGTACATGATTTTAAAAAAATAAATTGAAACATTCTATACATTCTAGTTTTACTTGCGAAGGAATTGTAGAATTACAGGATGTTGATACCATTTGAAATTGCTTATTTAATTTAATAGTATTCCAAACATGGTTATCTGTTGGAGATCAAGACCGTGTGTCATTGCTGGACCAATAAATCTCAAAAGATTTCGCCAAACTAATGCTGCAAAAAGTTATGTTTACCATTACGTTCTTTTGGGTATTTAAATCCACTGGTGATATGACAGAAAACGGCCTCTTGTAGTTTATGTTAAAACTCCATGGTCTGTCTATGGTGGCATTGATGAAGTACCGTATGTAGCCCCAGGGGCCCTCAAATGACGACGGAAGAACATCCGGAAGACCGAAGTCAAAGGGGAAAGAATGGCGTCCGAAAGGGAGGGTGTTACTGTCACCTTCACCACGCCCTACAAAGGAAAAAAACTCAGAACTAGGATGGGAGAATTTGTCACATTTCAGATATATTATTTCTGTCCAGTGGCTTGAAACATATATATTAACATTGAATAATTTTGTGTCCAATTTTGAACAGGAAATATCAGGAAACACAAATGGCAACCATATTGTATTTGAACAGAAACTGCCATTCTGTTTACCACAACCTTGTCTCTTATGATTTTTTAGTATCCCTGCAAGCTCAAATTAACACGAATTTTATTTCATCTGCAATTGTTTCTTCAAAAGCGTTAAAGATTTTTTTGGGCAGTCCAACACTGACTGCCATATTTTAATACATTCTTATCTATTCTACTCTTAAATCTCATCAACACCTTTTCCAAATAATGGTATCGTTCTGTTAAAGTATACTTCAGAAGCAGAAAAGTGCTCATCCGTTGGTAACCGGAAACCTCCTTTCTTTGGACCGGAAGTTTCTTCATAAGGACTAGATGAACTTGGCCAATCAACGTACGCTTCTCCCTGAAAAGTTATCCTTATTTCTGTTTGGTAATGAGAAAAAAAATCATAAAATTAAAGTTTATAAAATGTTGAAAATAAACTGCATACTGAAAATTTTACAATATAGATAAAAGATATATTTTAAAGCTGAACGATCTTTGACTTGTAGGAAAATAATCGTTATACCTATTTTAGTGAAATTTGACTTAAAATAATTCTGGGCTTTAAAAATAACACCCAATGTTGTCCGTGATCATGTGATTTATTTTCCTACCTCTAATTTTGACTGCCTCGTTTAACTCCAGTACTATTTCACCTCGGACAATTTGCCCCGGGAAGTAAACCCCTCGGTGATTTTCTAATTCTATGATGAATGTCTGGATCTTCCCCATATCTATTGAAATTTATTTAGGATAACCCATGAAAATGTTTCAATTTCCATAATTTCATAGACTCATACATATATTTAAAATACGATTGCTTGAAAAATATAAAATCTTTCTCGAGGTCACTTTTGCAAATTTAAAGTACATCAACTAATGAAGAAGCAAATACGGTTTACAAGTTCCTCTATTTGTTCCTGACTAACTGCATCACGAATTGCACCTGGATGAGTTACCTGCAGATTGTCGCTTAGCAAAAATATATCGATTTTTTGAGATTACAGCTTTAAAATTTTGATGCAGAACTGAAAAAAACTCAATTTTAGTCTTACAAAATATTTGTAAATTTTTAAGGAAATGATGAAGTCTTACCTTAACAATGTGTTTACATGTTTTAATCTCTTGACGTCTGTTTATCCTCTCCTGTTCACAATCCTTGAAGCATGTAAATGTCTGCTATTCTGGTAAAGTCGATGTCGCTGAAGGAACAATTACAACTGATCAATAGTCTAACCAGAATCAGAAACCTGTAGAATTTAACCGGATGTAGAGGGCTTTTAAATTCTTGATTGAAAGAAATGATCTAAGATTTGAATTGATGTGATTTGCGACTTTAAAAAAACCATCAAAGCATGATTTTTTTGGTTTTTCGTAAACTAAGTTTAATTTGAAAACAACCAAATTATTTTACTATACTAAAAAGCATCAATATACTGATATTAATACACCTTTTCTCAAATTACCAACAAATCCCGAAATTTTCACATTAATTTCTATAAATCTTGCAAAAATGCAGAGAAAATGGGTTATTCTCAAGAGATTAAAATTTATGAATTCTTATTTCTAAATTTCATCTAAAAGATGCCTTTTTAGAAGGTTATTCCTTTTTTTTTTTAAAGTTAAAGGATAAATAATACATATTCTCTAGTCCTTGTCCATAAATGCTCAGAAATATTCAATGTCCTTCAACTGGTTTATTGGCTTTAGTTAATAAACATTTCAAGTTTTAGTTTTTAGACATCCAAAACCATCTTTTAGGAATGAAATTCTAACATACTATACGGAACCAATGATTATAATCATGAATTCGTATGAAATAATTGATATACGTACATGTACGTTTTCCTTTGTCCGTCTATCTTAATCCATAATTTCCAGTAAACTGTCCATCTTTCTGAGGAGTTATAACAATAAGGAATGGTTAATAATTCCCATCAATGTCGATCAAGCCAATCAACACGAAATCCTCCAAAGCCCTTCTATTTTCCGAGGCTATCGACCAAAGATCAAAATCAGAGTAATATTGCCTCAGATCAGACTAGGAAGATGTTTTTCTATCTTTCATCGAACGTAAGAATTAAGGAGAATGTTGGGAAGAAGACATTTTTGTCCTCTGTGTCTTAATGAAATGTTCAATATTCGCGTCCGCTGATTCTCGTCTCATTGATTAAGTCTCATCGCAATTCTTCAAAAGTTCGTATTGTACTGGAATGATCCATAGGTTCAGCAATAGATGAAGAATATGTATGCATAAGTATAGAAATTATCTAGGGTTATCTAGGTTGACCAGCCATTTCGGGTTTACTACACTTTCAAACAAAGAGTATATCCTTCATTTTTCTGATTCCTTTGTAAAATACCCTAGTATCAATTGCAGATGGCCTTTTGAGCCCAGAGGAAATTAAAAGCCCATTTTTGGAACAATGCTAGTTTTTCAAGCTCTGATTTTTTTCTCTCTCATGTGACTCATTTTTGTCTTTCGGCAAATTTAAATTAACTGCAATAATCATGTCTTCCTTTCTGAATTTATGAGCTTTTTTCTTATGTGCTTGGAAAAATTATTCCCCAAAAGGTACTCTATTTTGGCTTATGTCTTTTCTTCAGTAAGTCTCATCATGTCACTCTTCCTGTTTCCATTTTTAACAAACTGTTTACGCATGTCTTTGAGATCAATTATAATCATTGATTAGTTAATTGATCAGTTATTTAGATCAATTGATCTTGACTATGCACCCCTACCACAATTAATGTTTCATTACTACGTACGAATAATTTCTAAAACGAGACAAATTATTGACAAACAAGTTGACAAAATAAGAATAAAATTTCTTGTTTAAAGTCATCATTTTGTAAATTCTATGGTCAATACAATTTTTATTTTAACGATATGTGGCTTAAGAGGCGACATATCATTAAAAAAGGAACATCGAGGATCTGATTTTAATCAGATTGTTATTTATTTATACACTTAATTGTCTTCCGATTTCTCCGTTATTTCCCGATCATGACAAAGAGGACACCGTGAGCGTGACTGGTCGACAAGAACATGGCAGCTGATCCCACTTCTATTGTCTTTAAAGGTCCGTGTTTGCTCTGATTTGGATTTGTATTATTTAATTTGACTTTTTGCCTGATTGCTGATTGTAATCTTCATATTTAATAAGTAAACAATCTTGTCATCTTTCTCTTTGCTTAAACTATATATGGATGCTTGCACCAAAAAATCACTATATTGAGCCCTTTTTTTTTTTTTTTTTTTTAAAGACGTCGTTATTTTAAAATTGTTTGCACCTACGTACTCCTGCATGTATGTATTTCTATTTTAATTTAGAAATGAAAAATAATATTCATCACACGACTAGTAACATGATTATATTAAAGTGAGGCATTTAAAGAAGAATTACTGAAGATGTCTTTGAAATCCTAGATTGGTAAATAAATGGAAAGAAACTTGAAAATAAATCAACAAAAAATATTAAATATCTGTGCTATCGTTTACTTGTTGATAATACTTTTGTTACCGTTCCACTGTATATTGCAACTGTTGTCTAAATATATGTCTTTATTTTTCTACAATAATAAAATATGTATAAAACAGTTACTATTGTCACCGGGTTCACAGGTGGTGAAGGTCAGTCAATATATCGGGTCTCAATAGCACAGTGGTTAGAGCGCTGGCACGGTACGCCAGAGGCCCTGGGTTCGAGTATATATATATATATATACGAGGGTTGTTCGAAAAGTTCGTGGACAACTGTCGTATCTTTTTTATTTGACGTCATATGTTATCCAAATTTTGTAGAAATATTTTAACAATAAATCCAAATGATTCGTATTATTTTTTTTTTTCAAAATATTACGATTTATTCAAAATCATCCAGATTTTAAAAATGCAAAAATCGGATCGCGGAGCAGGTCAAAATTTAGTAAGTTACAGACAGTGCTCTAAATAATATCTGTAGTTATATTCTCTATATAATGGAACAAAAACGAAAAACAACCTAGAAATTCAAATTAAAAATTGTTACATCGATTTTTGTGCCAGATTATGGTTTTATTTTTTGCTTTGTTGAAAAGAAATCAACTTGAGAAGATAGGTAGTCTTTACTGAAAACGACAAAAAGATGACGTTTTAGA